GAGCCTTCCATATTTAACATCCTTTAATTTTGATGGGTTTAGGAAATGGGTTTAGGTATCTTAGCACCCTGGGAATTTTTAAGGACTGCTTTTGAATGGAAATGGCTCTGTGGTAAATGGGAATTAGGAAGGAAGAGAGGAAGGGAATCGGCCTCAGAGAGCATCCAGAGCAGCCTTCTCAGATGTCCTCTACATCATCCCACACAAGGAAAGTGCCATGAGGTCAGCAAATACACATTACACCCCTTCTATGTGGTAGAGATTGTGTGCACTTGTACACAGTGTGTTCAGACAGATGTGATTCCCTAAGCTCTAGTTTGCCATCATCATAATCATTATCTTCATCTTCAGCCAACAACCACGTATTTGCCTGATACCGCATTAAGGGCTTTACTCTCATTGTCAATTAAGACGGTCACCATGACAGCAAAAGGATTCCTACTATTATCTCAGATTCATAGAGAAGGAGACTGGGGAGCAGTGAGGTCAAAAAAGTTTCTAGTCAAGGAAAAGAAATGTTTGAAGGTGGCCACAAGTCTTGATGCTATAAGGTGTCTCACCCTTCAACTAGGGTCTCCCTGTAGTAAGTGCTGTATGGAGAGGATGGAGCCAGAGATGGGAGGGGTAAGTGAAGAACACTTGGGATACTTTGGCCTTCATAGGATAATCTTTTTCTAAGTAATAAGCTTTGGTCTTAAGGGAGAAGATAGTAAGTATACAATATTCTTCAAATTAGAAAACATGACCAAGTACTAAAACTGAAGACTGTAATACTGTAATAATACATATACACAATGAATACTTAGTGGCATAATTAAGTATATCTGCTGTGAGCTTTGTGAATATGTTTGCATGAATGCCTGAACCTTGGTTAGTATTCATTGGACCCAGTTCCTGGTTTTGTCTGCTGAATGAAACATTGTATTTTGGAGCACACCATGCATTGGCACTGAATGAAGACTATAATCATGGTGCATTTATTCTAGGATACAGAGTTTTTGGATATTGATACCCTTTGACCCTTACTACTTCTTTTAACATAAATGTAGAGGTTCACATTTTTTAAAAGTCATTTTGGATATACCTTTTTATTCTCTTCCTTCTATAGAACCTCATGGGTTACTCAGACTTGGGGTTGACAAGATGGTTTGACAGGTAAAGGCACTTGCTGCCAAACCTGTTGACCTGAGCTCAAACTCTGGGACCTACATGGTAGGAGAGAACTGACTTCTGAAAATTGTCTTCTGACCTTCACATGTGTCCCCTACCCTTCCCCAAAATAAGTGTAATAACACTGGGCATGGATGAGCTGCCCCATCCCATTTCACAGGTCCAGAATTTCTTTGTTTCCTTTGTCACCCTTGTGACAAATTGAAGATGGGCACTTAGAAAATTAAGCAAGTCCCCATTCTTCTTGGAATCTTTCTTCTATAATTACCAGGGTGGATGGTTATTTCTGATTGGCATTTTCTGAGCTTAGGCGTTAGTTTGTCACTGATGAGGTGTATTTGGTGACCCAGGTATAGGCTAATGGCTCAGGGCTGGAGGGCAGACCTTGATGACATTAGTGGAGTCCTAGTTTTCCTTTTGTCTGAATTATCCTTATCCTTAGAGTGTCCAGCCAGGTGAATCTACAAATCCATCCATTTCTTTCAGCTTTGGCTGGTTTAAATTGTGTTTCTGTTACTTAGATGATTTCTAATTGTATGGATACTTCACTGATTACAGTTAAATAACTCAAGCTTCACTTTATACTTATGATACGTTTACATTAGGCGAATATGTGGCACTTTTTTTTCTCTCTTGTTAAAATGGTTTATTTGGAACCTGGAGCTTTGCAATGCAGTTGGACCAGCTGAATCTGTGCTTTCTCCCTGTGTGAGTGGTGGGGAGGAAAGAGTGGGTGAGAGGCTAGCACACAGCCTGTGGCTCAGACTATCACACTCAACACGAAGGGACATGTGATGTCAAAAGGACCCCTGTTGCCATTTGAAGCCACCTGGGTTTCCAGGCTCTGGAGTGTCATTCCTTTTTTCACTTTCTTTCTTTATTGCATTCATTTGAAAATGCTTTATGGGAAAGGCATCTGTCTAAGGTGTGAGGAAATTCATTCTCTTAATTGCTTACTGATGCAATGTTTAAGGGTGCATCAGAAGGCTGAAAGACAGCTCAAAAAATCATGGAAGTAAAGACGTATTTTCACCATGGACACCTAGTTTCCCATCTGCCTTTCCTATTTCCCCCAGTGGACTTAGGAAGCAGTCGTTTGCTTCCTGGGTTTCTTCCAGTCTAACTACTGGTTTTGTTAGAGTAAAAATTGGACTTTACAAATTACCCCTGTGCATTACATAATTGAAAATTAAATATAATTGTGAAAATTAAGTGTTAAGCCTGTAACTTGCCTTGGCTAAACACATAGAATATAATAAAACTAAGAATCTAAAATGGATGTAAATATATATATATATATATATGCTTGATCATCAAAGAAGTCAGCCAAAAATATGCCCAATTCCCTTTCCAAATCAAGTAGGTCAGTATCGGGGGGCATTTAGAAGTCTTTGCAAAATAGAGTTGACATACTATAATTATTTAATGGCACAAATTCACATTAGCATAACTGCTGCATAAATAATGTTCATTATAGTGATTAGAAATGTTAATTTCTTAGAGCAATCAAAATTTCCTTTCATCTCCAATAGCAGTACTTTTTAAGCTGCAGGTTTATGACCCATGGAATCAATTTAGTAGGGAACAATCAGCATTTGGGAAAGTAGATTAAAGGAGAAAATATTAAATTTCATTGCATATTGTCCATGTAAATATCATCCCAGATGCCTTAATTTCAATTTTTCAAAGTGCAGTATATATAACTCCTTGATTATGACATACACCATATTTCATTTGTAAAATACCATGCTAAAAATAGTTAGAGGACAGGTATTCTGTAGTATAACAAATGCATTCTAGTGCTGACTTGAAAATGATCCATAATTTCCAGTTTCACAAATTGTTAAAGACAAGTATTTTAATTGAAAGTTATGGTCACTATGTTTTCATATTCCTTTGCCATTTACTATGAAATTTTTTCATGACAGTTATTGTCCGTGGAATGGGGAATATCTTGGTTGTGCATATGAGAGCTCAGGTTTGGACTGAACCGTTCTCTAGCCGGATCTTATATCCGGGTCCACTCTGACTGGCTCCATATCTCAGGTCCCTTACTTATAAGTGAGCCTTGTGCTTGTGCAGAATCAGTGAACGAATGCATTAAGAGCTCTTTACAGTGTTGGGCACATAGTGCCCAATGTTCAACTAACACTGCTTATTGATATTATTGCTTTCCTAATTATCCTTACATGAGAATAGAAAATATCAGACTTTCTAGACTCAAGTTTTACCTTTGCCTCTGGTAAAGGCAGCACAAAGCCCAGAGTCTTGTGGCTCAGCCTATGCATAGCCACCCAGACCCTTAATTCTCCTCCCCAGCACATATATTTGTAGTTGAGATTAAACATCTTACAGTAATGTTCAACCTGCGATAACCCCACACACTATGAGGGATCAGGACTCTTCTGAAATGTGATCAGGAGTCTGATGAATGCATATAGATACTCAGAAAGTGGGTAGGGAAGCCTGATAATCACATTTGTCTAAGGGTCTCATGTGGTATAGTGAGAAGCCCAGTATGTTGGGCCTCAGTCCAGGCATAATAACTAATTTTCATTGTTTAGCATGTTACTTGTATTGCAGCTTTTCTTTCTCCATTGGCAAAGGGTAGTAAGTCCCTGAATCATATAGTTGTTGCCATGATTAATGTTTACTGTAGTTGTAAAGAGCTTGGCACAGCCACTGCCACATATCAAGTCCTCAAGAAAACAGTGATAGTGAAAGAAGAGTAATAGACTAGAAACAGAGCATGAAGTAACTGTCCTTTTAACTATGAATTATAGAACACGGATTCTATCACTGGATCACCGAGTAATCCATTCACTTCTTTATCCAACAAAACCTGAATGCTGTATGAATTGGGGATTAACCATGCTGAGAAGTTGGATGAATAAGATAGCTTTTCTGCTCTTGTTGAGTTTATAATCTATGAGGTCATGGGTAGGCAATGACCTGGAAGGTGATTAGTGCTGCTGCAGGTACATTATGGGGCTAAGTAAGAACATAAATGTTTGCAACTGACAATCATATTCAGAAACATTTATGGTTTGCCTTATATGTCCAACCTGAAGTTTAGAAATGAACATGCCTCTTTCTTGTGTGTATCTTTATTTACTAAAAGTTTTTCCAAGTGTAATTTGCTTACTAAGGTATACTAAAGAGGAGATTTGATCTATGTAATCCGGAAATAAGTGGTTTTTAACTTGGATATGGCTCCAAGGATGAGGCCAGGTAGTGAGACATCTTTGAAGAGCTGGGTCTAGATAGTAGGACAAATATTCACCTTATAAATTAAAATTTAATAACCTTAGTATTCCCATGTTTACCCTAGTGTTCCCTAATTAAACAGAGAATCAGCATTCTGTCTAATGCTCAGTTATAACAAGGAGTACAGGCTAAGTTTTATTTCTTTCTGCTTTTCTCTTAATGATATTTGATTTTTAGTTTTAATATATACATACACACATTTAATTTTAATATGCATATCTACAACCACATCCATGTAGATGGCTTTGAAAATAAAGTAATAATAATTATTAAATAACTTTAGATATCTTCATATTTTACATGTTACATTAACATTTTCATGTACATTTTTATGATTCAATGAACATAGTTATATTATGTTCAAAACTTACAAAATTGAGCCACATGCAATATGTCTGCATTAAAAGGCTTCAATAGTGGTAACAGTGTCTTACACAATGGGTCAATGGGCTGTCAGTAATTAGATGTGACACAAAATCATTTGGGGTTAAGTCCATTAATAGGAGACATAAGAATATCCATTTAAATTACTTTTTGTATTCTATGGATAGAAGAACTCTTACCTTTGAGTAATGCTGTCAGGATAGCTAAATCAATGTCCTGGTGGCCTTCTGATCCCATTCGAAATACTGTGATCTGCAATTTGAGGCAAGGAGATGGTTAACAACACATTTGTCCTCCAGAGAGAAATCAAATAAATGAAACCACTTCTGAGCAGTGCTATTTTACTGCCTCTGAAGTAGGTTACCAACCAGAGGGCAAGCATACATAATAAGGATCAGAGCAGTGAGCTCTGCCATTTGTTAGGAGGGAGAGGGGTCAATAGTCTCCAAGTGGGGACAATCTTACACAACTGTATTGTTAGTGGTTATCAAGCAAAACTTTCAAGATGCAAACATGTAAATTGTAATCAGACCCTGAGTGAGGAACTGTGCTTAAAGAGCTGGCCGCTATGCTCTGTAGAAAATGGCCCACTGCATAGACACATATGTCCACTATAACCATCTCTACACTCATTCCTTAGCAACAGGCATCTGCGTTGGTTGGTTTTTGTCAACGTGACACAGCCTAGACATATCTGAGAAAAATGATTCTTCACTGAGAAAATGCCTCCATAAGATTGTCCTATAGACAAGTTTGTAGGGTGTTTTCTTGATTAATGATTGATGTAGAAGGGCCCAACCCACTGTGCACAAGACACTCCTGAGATATGCAATAAAGTAGGCTTCTGGAGCTTGAGAGATCGGGCAGTGTTTAAAAGCTCTGACTGTTTTTTCAGATGATGCAGCTTCAGTTCTGAGTACCTACATGGCAGTTCACAATTGTTTGTAACTCCAGTTACCTTTGCAGGCACCAAGCATGTATGTGGTACACAGAAATACATGTATGCAAAATACCCATATATACAACAGAAAATAGTAATAATAATAATAAAAAAGAAAGTAGTCTGAGAAAGCTAGGAGGAACAAGTCAGAATTCTCCTGAAGTCTTCAGTTCCTCCCTTGAGTTCCTGCCCTTACTTCCCTCAATGATGGAGCATGATCCTGGGGTTGTAACCTGAAATAAACCCCTTCCTCAACAAGTTGCTTTTGGTCTTGGCATTTTATCATAACAGTAAAACCCTCAACTAAGACATCATTCAAGGGGTTTTGACATTAGGGATGCATCACTGTTCTGCCCTCTCAGTGACTTTGAATATCCTTTAGAATAATCTAGCAGTATATCCAGATGGTAAGAAATGTACAGAAGGCAGTAAAATAACTTCTTTTCCATGTAAAATAGGAGAGACACACAGTCTCTGGGGAAGAATAAGAGGAAGAAAACAGAAGAAACATCAGTGAGGAACTAATTCTTCCCTGAGACATGACTGTTGACAAGGGAGAGAGCTAGGAGACTCATTCTAGAGGAGATGTTTTTGCTAACAATTGTTATTGCTACCATGAACTAGCAATTGGGAATAATCTCTACTTTTATGGTACTGAAGAATTCCCCCCATAACCTTAAACCTGGCTGACATTGAAAGAAAGCCCCAAGAAATGTCATTTATATGCATTCACTATGCTCTCCAAAGGCTCTCAAAGGGCAAAGACAAGTAGCTTACCATGAACTAGCGATTGGGAATAATCTCTGCTTTTATGGTACTGAAGAATTCCCCCCATAACCTTAAACCTGGCTGACATTGAAAGAAAGTCCCAAGAAATGTCATTCATATGCATTCACTATGCTCTCCAAAGGCTCTCAAAGGGCAAAGACAAGTAGCTTCAGCATGTGGCATGGGCAGCATTTTAAAGGTAGAATTCAACTGGAAGAGGAACAAAGGGCAGAAGGACACATACCCTAGAAAAGAGTAAGACCCATTAGGGAGTAACTAGGAAAGGGTACCTCATCCACATTCCAGCTGGTTGTTGGAGACAACAGTGATTCATGGCTAAATATTGGTTTCTAGCAGGGAGGAGCTAAAGAATGGTTTTGGAGCAAAAATTTGCATGAAAAACTTAGTGAAGGATTTTTGTAACAGAACAAGGCTTAGTTTACTTTAAGGAATCTTCTTGCTATCTTCATAAACAATTAGTGAAGATTATAATGGGGAAGTAAAAACATTGCTGAAGGATAGGGAAGATAGGTAAATGATGCATGGCCTTAGCTAACTGATCAGACAGTACAATTTGAAAATATGCCAGTATCCAGTAAGTGAATTTACAGTTAGTTGTAATTTCAGTAAAAACCCCAAAAGTGTTTTTGTGGCTTTGATAGACTGATTCTAGGACCACATAGAATTATTTACCAAATCAAAGATTTTAAAAGCAGTATGATGTTGTTACTAGAAACAATGAGTAAAATATGAAATATGAATATAACCCAGAGATATTCCTACACATATGTGAACATTTGAGGCCAGACAAAAGGGTCATTGGAAGTCAGTGGGGAGGAAGATGCTTGTTTTCTCCATTCTCATCTCCTTTCTTTCTCTCATCTCTTTTCTTTAATAAAAGAACCATGGTATGTTGCTGGCCTCAGAGTTGCAATCTATGGCCCCAGCTCCCCTGGTACCTAGGACTGTGGGTATAAATCACCACCCTGAGCAAAAAGTGATATGGAGACATTATACATTTCCATTTAAAAAAATATGAATTTCTTTTTTACTTCACAAATCACACATAAAATTCCAGATGGATTCAATATGTGAAAATGTATAAAAATTTATGTAAAATACAGAATATCATACTAAGTACATATTTTTTTGGAATGTAATTCTTAGATTTATTCCCAAATATAATGTAAGAACAGATAATATACATTAATATATTATTTTTGTGTTATATGTGCCTTTAAAATAGTTTTTAAAACTATATGACACATTTTAAAATTCTATTTTTGAGATTGTATTTTAATTACAACATTTTTCTCTCCAACCCCTCCACCCTTCCTTGTTCGCCATCAAATTCTTGTCTCATTTTCACTAATTGTTAATGCGTTTATGTACATGTATCTATACATATATTCTTAAATATTATCTCCTAGTAATATCAGAAGGTAATCCATAAAATCTCACCAACACGAGTGCCCAAACATGTTCTAAAAATAGTTATTTTGGAGCTACTGATTCTAGCTATTATATACTTGGATTGGGTAATCCACTTTAATTTTTGTGCCTAGAGTCTACTAAAATATATGTCCTTCTTATGGAACATGGCACTTCAGTTAGACTTGTTTTTATCTGAATGAGCTACATAATAACCTTCTTTCAGGTGTCCTACCCATGGTTTTATAGGTTGTCTGTCTTAAATCCTTATGTTGAAACCTAGAGCTTCTAGGATGTAGGGTAATTAAGGGGGTGTTAAGTCTTGATTAAAGATTGCTATCAATTATTATCATTATAAGAGAGCCTATATAGAACTGCCGAATTCTTTTTACTATGTTGGTAGAGTACAGTTGACCGTGGATTTGGCACTAGGAATGTGTGACTGTCACAAAGTCTCACATTTTGTTTTGTCACTTTAGCATTCAGCTTCTCTGTGTGACTTTGGGAATATCGTGCAGATTCTGGGATAGAAGAATTGTTCCAAAGAATGCTTAAGAAATCATGGAGACACTTAATTTCCATGAAGAGAAGCTATGTTAGTCACCAAAAGGGTTATCTGAATCTCCATGGTGAGTTACTGTTGCACTCTCTGTACACAGCAACCTGTGGGATAATAATAATAATGCTTGCCTCTTTCCATTTATATAGGAAAGAAACTGTGTAGGATTTTTCAGCAAATAATTCTAAGTTTTACCACTGTGAAGGAGAGGATAGATGGAACCATAAATTGTTAAATTACCAGTTGCCTCAGGCCCAATCTGCTTGCCTAATCAGAGACTAAGTAGTGTGGGCCACACAAAAGTTAGGAGAACTCTGAAACTGAGCAACACCTGTGAAGGACAGAAGAAGACTATTACCACCTGCCTCTTTGTACTGGCTTGTATGTGAAGGTCAGAATCTGGGATGACTATGAGTCAGAGGATGTGAACAGAACAGCCTTCTGTTTGGTTTGAGTTTGAGATGTTTTTCCATTGGCTCATGTGTTGAAGGCTTGGTTCTCTGGCACGATTCTGTGGTGTGTTAGGAACATTAGTTGATGGGCTTAGTTGGAAGAAGTAGGTCACTGGGGAGGGAGTGTATCTTGGGTGCTGTCTTGTTCTGGGGTCCCTCCTTTACTTCCTGGTTGCCGTGAGGTGACTAGTGTCTTCCACCATACTTGCTTGTTGTGGCTCATGGCTCATAGCAGTGGAGTCAGCTGACCATGAGCTGAAACAATGAGATAAAGTAAATCTCTCCTTTAATTTTGCCCCCAAAGGTATTTATCACAGAGACAAAAGACTAACATACCTTCATAGGCATTTGAAATAAAAGAAGAAGAAAAATGGCCAAACAAAACTCATCTATGTGGCATGTTTGAGCTATGGTTACAGCTGCGTCTCTGGTGGGTGCTTCCAGGAGGAGATGTGTGCTGACAGATTTTCATAGTGGTCTCGTCTGCATAGCCATCTGGATATTGTACCTAGAAGTTATTGATAACCTCATAGATTTCAGGTAGGAGATGAGAAGGGGCTGTACCATGTTTTGAACTCAAGATGGGATGCTGGAACAGAAGATAATTTGCCTAAGAAAGAACCCGAGGGCAGATGTGTTCATTTGACTAATTGTTTAAGTGACCTCTTTTCTGCAGGGCTGGGTGGACTGAGAGACATTATCTACCATTCATCAAGCATTTAACTGATGGCAAGATGAAGGAATTCAGAGTAGCATTTGAGCTCATTATTCAAAAGAATGAAAAAAAAAAAAACCCACGCAGTATCAAATGGGGTTCTTTGAACATCTGACCTGCTCATCTTTCCAGTGTCTAAACCTCACTGCATAATTAGAGATCACATTTCAGATGGAAATCCTCCTGATGCAGTAAACTGCCATGTTAAATTAACCCTGAAATACAAGATTATCAGGTTTTCATAGCAAGAGATGTGGATCGGGTGTATGTGTGTGAGGGGAATGATGAGTGGGGATGTTTCTTTTTCAGTCTTTTTTTTTTTTTTTTATTTTTCTGTGATAGTCCTAGCTGTTCTGGAACTCGCTTTGTAGATCAGGCTGGCCTCAA